ACCACACCTTGTTGCATTCCTTAAGCTCAGGAGTTGGTGGGCTAATCCAAACAATGCTGCCCACCTGTTAATCACATGACCAGGTCATTCAACTTCAAAGGAAGACACTTATGAGCTCACTCTAAGTATGCTTCTGATTCTTCCCTTATTCTTTTGCACACATTTCTTGAACCAAGCTGTAATTTGATACATTTTGAATATTGCACCATTAATTTTTTAAAAAAATGCTAGTTTTGTACCAGCAGCTTGAAAGGAAGAATATGGAGTGAATGCAAAGTGTGCTCCTGATTCTTCCTTTTCCGTTTGGCCCCATAAGTTTACCTGTCCTGTGTCTGATATCATTTATTGTTAGTTGATTGCCAGGTAGGTGTGGTTTGGATCAAACCATATCACAGACAAAATGGGGAGCCCTAATTAGACCCATAGACCAGAAGTTTACCTGTTAGTAATTGAACTATAGGCTACAGGGATTGAACCAGGGATATTGTAAATGGAAGGGTACAGTCTAGCAGTGAGCCTTGGCTCTTCCCCAGAATTATTATAGTTTTGCATGTAGAATTTGAGTTTCAAAACACAGAAGGAAGGATTAGTTAAATATACATACCGCTTAAATGTTCAAAGATTAGGGTAAGGAAAATTAACAGATAGATGACAAGAATGCTACATTGTATGAGTGAATAACTAATCTAGTTATTGTGAAGATACACAAATGCTCTCTCATGAATGAGACAGCTACTTTCAACAAGCACCCTTTCTGCTACACACACACGCACACACACACACACACACACACACACACACTCTATTAGGCTAATATTCCCATATTTTTTCATGAAATTTTACTTCACATCTGGCGCTGTCTATCTGAAAAGCCATAAATTGCTTTGCTGCTGTGCTTGCATCCTCAGCGCTGGCAGACACCTTGTTGTTATAAGTTCTAATAGTATTTCAGTTGCTCGCCAGACTAGCCAAAAGCCATTTCATGCTGTATTTTAAGTGTCTGTTTACTCAGTTGTTACAAATTGCCTATGGGACAGGAACTGCCTGTCACTTCCAGAGCAATTAGCATGTGAAGCCTTATCAGAAGAAATCCGTCAAGTTTGAACAGACACAAATAGCACATGGGAATCTCTAAGGAAATCAAAATGAGTATTTTGCAGCATATATTTACATGCTGCTGTTACTGCTTTCAGTCATAACTTATATGTTTCTGTATTCCTGTAGATGGATAGAATAATATAAATAGCCATCATTTTGGTACCCTTGTTCCGTACAGATTATACAGTACTGAGGAAAATATTTTGGGCTAATGCTTTTAAAGATACTATATTTTAAAAACTAATGATTTAGAAATGAATAGGACGGGATACTTGGTTGGTTCAGTTTATTTATTTATTTTTTTAAAAAAAGTTCAGTGTTGTGATAGCAGAGGCAAAAGAAAACCATTTATAAAATTTCAGTTAGACCGACACTATTCACAAAGTGACCATGTTAGCTTTTGAGTCACATTCTTTTAATAATTCCAGATTGTCACATCGGATTTAGAATGATTTGCTCTAATCGACAGCATTGATGGCCACCCCAATTCTTTTTAAAAGAACACCCTTAAACTAAGCGTTCCCATGAGGAAGTTCTTGCAACGTTAATCCATATGGTGTGTGCACTTATCACCTCCTGCATCAGTCACCATGCGCTGAGTCACCATTACAGCAGATCTTGTTTTATCATCTTGATAAAAACTCTAAAACAGAAATGTAGATGAGAGGTGATAAAGCACAATGATCGGCAGTGACTCACTATGCTGCACATGGGTGATGCTCTCAGTGTGAACATGTAAATCCACTCCCTCAAGTATCTTGCGCTCTGTTTACTGTGGTGCCAATGCCATGCCTCAACTTTGAATTTCAGAAGCAGAATGTGACGACCTCCAAATGCCCTGCCTCTTATCGGTTGTATTTCAGTGCAGTGTGTCCCAACACTGAAGGAGTACATGTGTGAAGAATAAAAAATGCCTATGTAGAACCAGGTGCATAGGCCCTACATAGCAATCACACTCCATCCCAGTAGCAGGCCAGTTTCATTGGTAAGAGGCATGTGTTTGACCCTACTGATGTGGTCACAGATTTCAAAGGAGCTCCTTTGCCGCATGGCATTGTGCCATAGTAGAATAGCTCCCCTTTACGGCAGGGGAAGCATGTGAAAGGTGCTTGTGAATTACAGTGGTGCCTCGCAAGACGAAATTAATCCGTTCCGCGAGTCTATAACTCGCAAGACGTTTCGTCTTGCGAAGCAAGCCCATAGGGAAATTCGTCTTGCGGAACGACTCAAAAAACAGAAAACCCTTTCGTCTAGCGAGTTTTTCGTCTTGCGAGGCATTCGTCTTGCGGGGCACCACTGTATCTTGTTTTAGCACTGCTGAGAACATTTGTGTTCCCAGATTCTTCCTTGTTTTCTGATGAGAAGTGTAGGGTCTGTGGAGAATAAATGAAGGCTTTAAAAAACAACAACCAAAAACCTCCCTGTGCATAGGAAAGTAGGGATGGCTGCTTACTGCTGCCTGCATTACAGAGAAACTAGTTAATTGTTTGGCAAGTGTAAATTAAAACAAAAAATAAATGCTAATTACTTTCTGGAAAATTTAAGCCTGCTGAGAAGTGTTACCTTGTTTACTCTGAGTATCCTCTTGACATCAGCATGGGGTTACTCATAATTAGATGCACATGTGTAAATACAATGATTAGATAGTCCCACATAAACATAATTATCATATCCTTTTTTTAAAAAAAAACACGTCTATGAAGAGGGTCTCTAGCCCTGTGGGGTTTTTGTTACTATAAAAGCCCAACAATCTACATGCCTTTATCTTATGTCGGCAAACAATGGAACGTTAGAACATAATAGGCTCACACAAGTCACAGAGAGATGAATGGTGGTCGATCCTGCAGGAAATTATTGTGTTGGATTGAGCCCAGTATATTCGCAAATTGCATCACAACAGTTGAGGTCAATTACACACTTTTTCACTATAATTAGTGTTCCTCGTATAAAGAGGCAACATCTTCTTGTTCTCTAATTTCCAGAGTCTATCCAGGGTGTTCGGGTATTCGCTTTATATTCATGAGATTGTAGTAAATTAACCTAAACACTATTCTTGTTTTCCTTGTTGGATATTTTCCAAATATATTCTATAAATTTGGGAGTATTATATAATTAGTCATAATGCAGTTGATTACAACTTCATTTACTATACAGGCTTGCTTTTCTCTTGCCCTCAAGCGTATATAAAACCAAATCTGTATATGATTTGGGCGGGGGGGGGGAGGCACGGAGAGGCCTTGAATAATGTTTATTTTGTTAATCCAAGAAGATGAGCTCACTAGAAGAATCAGATGGAGATTTTAACCACAGGGAACTGGGCACATTATCTCCAAATCATGCAAATTTCCAAGCAGTCAATAGATGCTGTCTAAACAGATGTCTGTATATATGCAAACAGTTTCCATTTGTGTATTTAGGGAAATGGTGGATGTTTTAGATGTTGGCTTTCAAAAGTGGGTGTGGTCTGTTGGGTTGGTCTCTGTAATTAATCCTGCACCTGTTCTGTATTCTGGAACCGCACACTTTGTAGGTTGCAATGCGGAGATCTTGCTTGCTCCATTAACAGTGCTTAAGTAGGGGGAAAGATACTATAGACCAGGGGTAGGCAACCTGAGGCCCAGGGGCCGGATCCGGCCCAATTGCCTTCTCAATCTGGCCCATGGATGGTCCGGGAATCAGCGTGTTTTTACATGAGTAGAATGTGTGCTTTTATTTAAAAGGCATCTCTGGGTTATTTGTGGGGCATAGGAATTCGTTCATTTCCCCCAAAAAATATAGTCCGGCCCACCACATGGTCTGAGGGACGGTGGACTGGCCCACAGCTGAAAAAGGTTGCTGACCCCTGCTTTAGAACATCCCTTCACTACCTGTTAGGCTCACCTTTCTATGAGAATTCTTGTAGCAAGACTCTGGAGCACCAGGGAACAAGGAAGGTGGATGAAGGACTGATGATCAAACTGGAGAAAGAGACTCAACTCAATCAGTCATGAACAAACTGACCATTTCCCCTTCTCATTGTGAGTTGGGGGAGGAGAGGGGTAGCTGTGCCCCATCCATTTCAGGAGAAGGTGCAGGTGTGGCAGGAGCTCAGCCATATCACAAATAGTGGGTCTGGCTGACTGTTGGGGTGAGAGGAGCAAAGAGCTGCAAGCTTTTAAGAGGTATCATCATAGTCTCTAGCCATTCCTTTTGTCCGTATACAAACTATTTAAGAACTTTCACCTATGTTTGGTTGCCCGTATTTTCTGAATGCTGTATGGAAAAGTACGTGAATCTGACCTTTGAAGAGTTTGTAAGGAATCCATTTTAAACTTTCCAAATGTTTAATTTTCTTCTATGCTAGGGGAAGTAGGAAACTTTGGAAGGAACTTAAAAGGGCATATTTTAAAGGTCCAACAGCCTATATTTTCACAATTTACTTTGCTGCCTGTTTTGTGATTTCAAACCTCTGCTGGGGTTCTCTCACCAAAGAGTACTTGAACCAAACCTTGATCCTGGGATCCAGGAAATTCTCATATTATCTATGATACATTTTCTTGCCCAGCCAACACCTCTGGAAAGTGCATGCAGAGAAAGCTCTTGGATTTGGGCCCTGTATGTGGGCTTCCTATAGGCAGGCTTCTGGTTAGTCATTGTGAGATACTGGATTATGTTGGGCTTTGTCTAAACTATGGCTCCTGTGTTCTTAAATGTCTTAAACCTTTAATTTTTTTCAAGCACCTAAGCTAAGTTTTGATCATTTTTTGACTAGCTCAGAGTTGATTCACATGGCCATAGGCCTCATGGAAACTGCTTCAAATGGCTGTGCATTTCTATGATTCCATTATATCAGCAAGATTATAGTTTTGCAGTACTTGTATAAAAAATTAATATTAATAGTCTTTTCCCCCTTTCCCTTTCAGAACTGATCTATGCCTGGATCTTCAATGAATACCCATCTTTTGTGCATCAGGATAATCGTCGTTTTGTTTCTCAGGAGACTGGAAATTTGTACATAGCTAAAGTGGAGAAATCTGATGTGGGGAATTACACTTGTGTAGTGACAAACACTGTAACTAACAACAGAGTGCTGGGACCTCCTACACCTTTAATCTTGAGAAATGATGGTAAGATTTCCTGTTAAGTGCTGAGTGGGTTTGGCTTCCTTGTAGGAAAAAGAGGTAATGGGTGCATTTCTACCAAAGAACAGGTACCAAGGTGTCTTAGAAAGAAAGTGTTATGTACTGAAGTTCTCACCCTGGGCCAGCAGGGGGATACTGTAGATAGTTCAGGTCCACATATGCAAATAAGGGATTGAAAGTGACGTTCAGTGATTGGATAGTTACAGAAAATGGTTACTGTTGCGTTCTAGTGGAGCAGGCTGGCTGAACCCTTCAGTTCAGTTCTATTCTGGCCTCTGAATAAACAAGAGCTGTTTGAAGAATCGCTGTGTCATCTGATATGTTCACCCTCAACTTAACAGAAAGGACAATGGGATAATTTTGACCTAAGGGTTATTGCCATTGTTGTTCATTATTAAATTTGTTAGTCACTTTATCTTGCCCAAAGCAACCCAAAGCGACTTGCTATTCTATATTACACCATGGAATACACTTGTAATATTCAAAAACAAAGGGGTAATCACTTAAGACGAATGGGAGAGCAGGGAAGTAACCTCCTCTGTAGTAGCCATGCAGGGGCGCCGACTTATAAAAAAAATTGGGGGGGCCATACCGGGGTCCTGCCCCGGGAAGTTTTCTAAATTTTAGATGAAAATTAGTGAGTTTTAAAGTATTTCGGCGGAGCCGGAGCGATTGGGGAGGAGGGGGCTTGTTGCCGGATTCTTCAGCTGGGCCAGAGATCCGCTGCTGGGGGGTCCCTGGGCCGAGTTGTGAGCACGGCCTGCTGAAGGGAGATCCAGCCGATTTCACGACGGGGACGGCCGGGGCTCTCCGGCTAGGGCGCGCGGCTGGCTGGCTGGCTGGCTGGCGAGGGAGCAGGTGGGGAGGAGGCGGGGGGTATAACGTTCTCAAAATAAACCGGTGCGTAAACAAAATAAGCAGATGCCCCTACCACAGTGCCAGTACTTTACTGGGTCTCTTAAATGCAAAATTGCAAGATCTTGATTTCCCACCACCACCTAAAGGGAAGGATATGAGATGAGCAATAGCTGCAGGGAACCTCCCGAGCTCAGGAACCTCGCCCTTCTTTAGCAAGACTGAAAGTAAGTGAGGATCCTGAACAGCTACGGGAGGTCAAAGAAGGGCGGCTGCAGGTCCCGAGGGCTGAAGGCGCCACAAAGACCAGCGCTGCTCTGCTCGCTCCCTCTGCCTCGCGCGCCCAGCCCCTTGCCCCGCAGAAGAGACCCGGGTGGTTGTCATGACAAACCCATTACCTCTTCTTAGGCCCCTCTCTCTGATTCTCGCGGGAGCGTGAATCCTAACTTGGAAAGCCTTAGAACGGAGCAGCGCAGAAACGCAGATCCCAATTGGCCAAAACGGCTGCCACTCTATACGGGGGGCGGGGGACCGAGGGAAAAACGAGGGGAGCGCTCCAGAGCGGCGCGCTCTAATAGCTTATCGACGGGAGTTCCTGGCCTGGCTAAAACTACAATTCCCAGCAAGCTTTGCAGCACGGGTTGCCTCATTGGTCCCAGCATGCAGCGCCTCTCCAATTACTGAGTGGGCAATAAAAAGCCGTACTAGGCGTGTGAGAGGCAGAATAAGGATGGGAGGCAAGTCAGCTTTGCCGCGGTCTCCTTTCAATAAGCATGACTTTCGAAACACCAGGCGTGCTTCTTTCTCGTCACGTCCAGCCTCGCTCGGTTCCCCTTCATTCACACAATTTCTTATCGGGCACTGTGCGAAACTTGCTGTGCCCCTCCTCGGCTCTCCCCTCACTACCGCGCCCTTGGGCTTATCTCCTCTTTCCCAGAGCGCGCTTTCGCGACCAATCGGGCGGACTGCTTCCCTCATCCCTAATATCTGCTCGAGCCGGTCACTCCGACAGGGAAGGCGGTGGACTCTGCGGCGCGTGGGCAGAGGACGCGTGCGGTTGGTGCCTTCGGGATTGCGCCTGGCGTCTTCGGGTTGGCGGCAGTCACGGGCGGGGGTTTGTGGAGAGAAGGGAGGCCGGCGCCTCACGGCCGGTCGCCGAAGAAGCTACATCCTACAAGGAATGCAGGGAATCTACTTGATCTTATACCAATTAAGCATCAATGGTCGTAAAGCAAAGCATTATTAAACTTATTTCAAAGGAAGGAAGTCTTGGACTCATACCTGATGAAACCCTGGAAATAACGCTTTAATATCATGATTGCTTACGGTGGTGACTTTGAAGTCAGTTACCCACGAGCGCTTCTCTTAGGAATTCATGCTTTGCACCTACTCTGGCATGTTTACTGAAGTCATTCATGTAAAATGTACTTGAAATGTACTTGAAGTGTATTCTACTGTTTATTATAGATGTGCTGGGAAACACTGTTGAGTTCAACAGGGAAGATCAGCAACATTCATTTAAGCACAAGATGATCAGGTTTCCCTGAGGCTGAAGTGTTAGTATCGTTGAAGACAGGTTAAATTTGCATTAGGCTCGTCACAGAACAGCCCGAGACCTCAATTTATAATTTTCATATTCCAGCTCTCCCGTTTCTGGTAGCTCACATGTTTAAATGCAATTTACACTTGACTATTCATACACTCCAGTGTATTGAGAGGCCAACTGGCAAGGCCCGGTCTTTCAATAGCGAATCACAGTTTGCATTTGTTGCAATGAAATGCAAACTGCAAGGCATGCATGTTCTAACAGGCTGACAGGAACATCTGGATCCTCTTTTTTTAAAAATTGAGTTTGACATGTCCAGTACATCTCAATATATATGACAGATTATTTTCATTAGAGCATTTCATCATTAAATTAGCACACTAAGAGGCAAATTCATCAACGTTTAATGTCCCAATTACATGAATAAGTGTTACAAAAAGAAATTTCATAATGTTCCTCTCTCATTTAATGTAAAATATACTGAACTGTGTAATTCATCACTTTGCTGCTAGTCATGCAGTTTAGAACTATTTCCGCTATAATAGGTCTAGGAACAAAGGCACATAAGGTATTTATTGATGAAAATACACCATTCTATGGCAGAAGAAATCTTTTCCCATCCCTGTCTTCCACAGAAAACACAAGTATTTGGAAACTTTTAAATAATGTAATTATTTTGCTTTGGTCCAGAAGGAGGTAGATATCATTTTATTACCCAGAGAATAAAGACTAGACTACATATTACATTAAATGCCCAATCTGTCCTTCTGTATGTTTTTCCCCTTTAAAAAATAGCAGTTATACACGGGTGGCGCTGTGGGTTAAAGCCTCAGCGCCTAGGACTTGCCAATCGAAAGGTCGGTGGTTCGAATCCCCGCGGCAGGGTGCGCTCCCGTCGTTCGGTCCCAGCTCCTGCCAACCTAGCAGTTCGAAAGCACCTTCGGGTGCAAGTAGATAAATAGGGACCGCTTACCAGCGGGAAGGTAAACGGCGTTCCGTGTGCTGCGCTGGCTCGCCAGATGCAGCTTGTCACGCTGGCCACGTGACCCGGAAGTGTCTGCGGACAGCGCTGGCTCCTGGCCTATAGAGTGAGATGAGCGCACAACCCTAGAGTCTGGCAAGACTGGCCCGTACGGGCAGGGGTACCTTTACCTTTACCTATGTGTGTGAGATCATGATTAGAGGCATGGTGCAATGGTAGGTTCTTTAAACCTTTTTCTCCCACACCGTGGTCCTAATGAAAAATTGCGCTACAAAGCTGTGATGTGGCAATGCAGGGAAGCTGCCATTGGTGGCAATGACAGCTTTTGTCCCATGTCAGATAACAGCTTGGAACTGTTGCCATACAATGTTGGCATAAGAGTTTGTAGGGATTTTGGATAGATAGGGTGATATTTTGGAATTCAATTAAGTTTTACTTGGATTACACCTATTAAAATTAATGACCCTGACTAGTCAAACTTATTAATTTCAGTTTCTCTGAACAAAACTTACTTGAAAACAACCCCTACTTATTTTCCTCAAGGATATTGGAAAAGTAGCTACTTGGCATCTAGAAGAAGCTGTGGAAAGCTGTGTAAAATGCCAATAGCTCTGTTAAATGTGTGTCCCCTCTTCTCACCTGTTCCCACCTCAGCCTTTGTGCAAGGCATGACATCTACAAACTGTTGTGCACTCTAAGTTGCCTCTCAAGGCTCCTAAAATATAAATCTTCAGATGTTACTTTAGTGCTTCCTGAAAGCAATAGTTTATTCTCTTGTTTCCTTAAATTGGGCTGTTTCTTTATATTGTATGGCACAATCAGAAAATGTTCCTTAACCCATTGGTCAAGCATTTTCAATACCAGGTAGCATTTTCTCTGCAGGGAATATAAATGGGGGCAGCCAAGCAATGGTAAAAGTAGACTTTGTTCCCTGGATCAATATAAGGCCAGTTTGTGACTCCTCTATAGAGATGGTATTTATTTCATTGTTACGAGAAGTATATAAAAGGCAATCTGTGTAGTATAAACTTTTTTCTTTTTCTTTTTAAAAAATACTCTATGCACTTGTTTTTCCTAGCAAGAATTGTCTTTATGTTTGGACTTCATTTTTACAATCTGCCCCTTATACTTTCAGACACTCCTCAATTAGTGTCTATAGTAATCAAGAGAAGCATTGTGCGAATAAAGAGGTGGGTTTTTTGTTTGTTTTTAAAGCAGGGGACATAGATTTTAAGGAGCACTTTCTGATTATGCTAACAGTGCCTCACTCTTACCTGGTTTAAACTTCAGTTTGCTGGCTCACATCCTGTTCATTACCAAGGCCATACACCAGCCTAGCACATCCACTGCTGCACCTGTGTTAGTGCTGACCATTAAAGTCCTACATGGCTTTGGCCCTGTATATCTGAAGGAGCGGCTCCATACCCATCGTTCAGCCCAGACGCTGAGATCCAGTTCTGGGGACCTTCTGTAGTTCTCTCATTGCGAAAAGTGAGGTTACAGGGACCTAGGCAGAGGGCCTTCTGGGTAGTCACCCCCACCCTGTAGAACGCTCTCCCATCAGATGTCAAGGAAATAAACAACTATCTGACTTTCAAAAGACATCTGAAGGCAGCCTTGTTTAGGGAAGTTTTTAATGTTTGATGCTTTGCTGTGGTTTTATAATTTGTTGGAAGCCTCCCAGAGTGGCTGCAGCAACCCAATCAGATGGGTGGCATATTATTATTATTATTATTATTATTATTATTATTATTATTATTATTAAACACTCACCTCACTGGCACATCCCCTTCCCTGCTTGTTTTTATGAGTCATGAGAGTCAAGAGCCTTACTATCGTTAATTCAAATTCATCCAACTCAACAGGTCTAGATGGTGTTCTGGAGACCTCTGGAAAGTCATTTGCAATAACAGCGGTTATTAGCAATTTTATCCACAAAATGCTATCCACAGGCCAATTTCTAGATGAAGCTGCTGGGGGTGGCCATTAGGAGATTTTCTGTTACACAAAAATTGAGAGAGATTGGCAGTTTTCTTTTCAGCCTCTTTCCTAATGATATCCCAACATGGAATTTAACTTTTTCACAGATTACTAGGTCAACATCTTCACTGAAATACTCGCAACTCCAAGGTCTCATTCCTGGTCACATGCTTCAGACCCCTGAACATATATGTGCAATTATTTTTTTGCCCTAGTGTGCATGACTTTAGGCTTGCTTGCACTGAATTTGCATTTCACTATTTACTGTCCATTTGCCCAGTTTGTAGAGATCATTGAGGTCTCACCATTCACATTCTCACAGCACTCTCATAACGTGATGAATTCTGCTGTGTGGATAGCAGGGGAGAATAGACAAGTAGGCAGACTGCAGTCTATAATCTGATCTCTTGCTCTCTCTTTTATTTTTTGTAGATTTCCACAACCATGTGGCCTGTTTGTTTGCACTCTGTCTGCAGGCTCCTAGAGTCTAAGTCTGTGTTGGGCTATCACATGTTTTGCTTGCAGCACTGGTTTGGCGCTCCCCCCCCCCTTGCTTTTTTTTTGGTACTTTGAAATGATGAATGCTGAAAAGCTTGGAGAAACATATGCTGCCTTTGGAAAGCATGTTGAAAGAAACAGGATACTGACAGTGACTGGTGTTCCCTGGCTGTTTAGAATGCAATCCATACAAGTATCCTTAGCATAGTTTGTTTAGATGACTGATTTTATGTGGCAGCTGCACTTTATATCGTACAGAAGGAGTGTCTTTGAAGCTAAGTGAATGGGGGGAAAGGCAACCTGTTATTGTGTTGAAGGAGTATAGACAGTAAAAGTAGCATGCATATCAACATCAACGCACATTCCTTCTGAGAAAGCTGTGTTTATAATAAAAGCATTTCCTTATCTGGATGTTTGAGGGAAAAGGGGTCTCTCTATATATTTATTTCTAAACCTGCACCACGTTGCACTTTATATATCAGAGTTGTAGGAAATCTATTTAGCAATTATGACAGTTCTAAAACTTAGGAGCGGTCTCCCCTAGGGCAGCACAGCAGAGGCGGATTTAGAGGAGTACAATTGGTTTGGTCGCACTGGGCACCACAACTATAATGCATAATGGAAAGCGGGGGGCGGGGGGCCACTGAATTTTGGCATCACATAGGGCACCACTGAAATTGAAGCCCCAAGGTCCACCACTAAACACAGGATACTTGATACGAATTACTCAAGGTTCCAGGAAAAGAAGGGATCCTGAGGCAGGTGAAATCTTCCTTCCTCAACCAGCGAAGGTCTAGATACATTGGCTGCCCCGTGGTATGAAATCTATGGCTGCATAGATTTTGTGCACTCATTTCTAGTTATGCACATGCAGATAGCATACATAAACAATCCCAACCATGTTTGGGAAGAAGGAAGCTCAGGAGAAGCTGGTGCTCCCCCCCCCCCCCGGCTCATGTTCTGTGTATTATTTTAGGAGGGGATCAGGGATTCCCTATTTCCTTTCCATACCCAACTAAAGATTGCCTACAGATATAGTCTATAGATACATATAAAGTCATACCTCGGGTTGAATGCGCTACGGGTTGAGCGTGTTCAAGTTGCGCTCCGCGGCAACCCGGAAGTAACAGAGCGTGTTACTTCCGGGTTTCGCCGCTTGCGCATGCGCAGAAGCGGTGAAAAGCGACGCGTGCATGCGCAGACGTGCCGTCGCTAGTTACATTTGCTTCCGGAATGGATCCCGTTCGTATCTAGAGGTACCACTGTATAGCCTACGGATCATTGTGTGCAGCAGCAGGAGTCTACGCACAACAGTTAATGAGAATCTCCGAATGCTTACTTGGAAAATGTATCATTTGAGGTTATGAGAGGAGGCTACAAGGTGCAGCAAATTCTTCTCTTCCCCATTCATTATGCCCCATGCCTTTTCTCCTTCAAATCCTTAAACCTGCTTGTTTCATGTCACTCTCTCACCTGTTACTAGCTGGATGTTTCTGTTCTCTTTTTGTCCCCCTCCTTGCCTGGGGAATCATGCCATTGTCTGTTCAGCTGAGCATCTAGCTTGCTATTGTTATCAATAGTCAATCACGGTGGTAGCAGCAGTAGGAATTTGTTGGCGCCATCACCATCATTGTTGTTGGAGAAGTACTGGCAGTAGAACAAGAAGAAAACTACAAGCCACGTAATAGCGCCTTTGGGATTCGATGTGGAGTGCTCTCTTTTCTATGCACACAGCAAGGAAGGGACAGTAAGAACAGCTATAAGTACCTGACTGTGGGACCATGATTTAGCATATAAAAGCAAAGCAAAGCATTGTGAAATGAGATATACCCAAATAAGCACAGTGCATGAGAGTTGCGACTTCTGCAGCCCAGTTTCTTACTAACACCCATCTGTGAAACTGTCAGCCCTCTCTGTGTGTTTCTGCCTCTTTTAGTTATCCCCGTTCTTCAGCTGCAGGACTATTGCCTCCTGCAAACTTGACTTGGTATTTCATTTCAACAGCAGGAGAGCAATCCACCGATATTACCTCTACTGTCATTAGTTTCCATTGATGAAACATCAACTTGCCACCTGGACTATGAGCCAGTCATCCAGCAAAGAGAGGGCAATTAGGCAAAACCTGTAGCAGCACATTGTCTAAATAGCGGACCGTATCCCAAGGCACAGGTAGCCAGAGGCTATCCAGCTGACCACTGAATTACATTCCCAAAGGTGGTCATTCTGAATCTAATTCACATGCAGCTATTACTTTCTTATAGCCACAGGCTTCCCTAACTTCTACCGTGCATAAATATTTAGTCTTATTGAAGCTGGGCAAGAATGAATGTTCAGAAAGAAGAATTGAATTATGATACCATATATATATATGTTTTTGACTGTATTTAATGGTTTATGGAAGCTACTCGGTTTGTAAGAAAAGTGTTGATTTAGTATAAACAGAATGACTTTTTATGTGCATTATTTAATACGATTTTTTTAAAAAATAAAACAACTGCTTTGATGTAATGGTCAAATTACTAACACAGTAAAATTTAAGCAAACTACACAACCGCTGTAGCACCTTAGAGGATATTGCACCCTAAAAGTTAATAGGAGCTTTGGTTAGCTGGCAGTGCTTTATCAAGAGTTGTTTGCTCTGCATTGCTTTCTCCAAAAGGCATTGATTGTACTTTATTAGCACTTACCTTTCACAAGAAGAATGCAGAAAAATGAAAAAGCAAAGAGCCATGATGAGATGTAATCTTAGGCAGATGGCTGAGAGCTGCAAAACAAATTTTCCTCTGGAAGTAAATAGGGAAAGGGAGCCTCACAGTGTGTGGCTGTTGGAGACGAGGGTCCTGTTTGAAATGAACAGATTAATTGGGCACGTAATGATGTACAAAACTGCCCTGGGTTAACTCAGGCATACTTGGGGATATGTAATGCAGAATTCAAGCCAATTTAGCATCCATTATATGTTCACAGGAGTGATGGGCGAATATGAGCCGAAAATAGAAGTGCAGTTCCCAGAAATGGTTCCATCTGCGAAAGGAACAACTGTGAGACTGGAATGCTTTGCACTGGGAAAGTAAGTTTTCGCCATTCACTCATTCTGCTGTACTAAAACAGTTTGCAGGTTGTTAGGGCAAAATCAAGTAAATTGTGGGTTTTCCGCTTCGCACAACCTCCATTAACTGTGATGTTGTCTCTCCTGGCTTACAGCGCTCATTCAAGCCCCTCTCAGTTTGACCAGTCGTGCTCTGTGGACTTTTCATTTTGTTTTGCTATGCAAATACACATGTACATTGTTACTTCGAATTATGATCACTTGGACAGCTACTGATGAAGTTTGGTGCATGAATCTGATGCGCCTCGGAACAACCCCACTCCCCCACCAGCGGGGGTGGGGACCTTATTGTATCAGTTGATAATACCTACTTTGGCTGCAGCTGCTTAGAAAACAAAAACTTGATGTCATAGTGAGTTACTCAGTGGAAAGTCAACATGTTATAGCAGTGAAAAAGGAAAATTCAATGTTGGAAATAGTGGGGAAGGTATTTAATATAAAGGAAGTATCATAATGCCATTATACCAACCTGTAGTATAGATTTGGACCACAGGGGACAATTCCGGTAAATTGATCTGTGACTCCCAAGTATCCACTGGTGTGAGTGAACTGTGTAGGCCATTACCTTTATTATACCTTTGCTTGTGAAAATCTAGACACAGCAAACTGTCTGCTGAACAAGATGCTGTGGACAGATCTTTGTGTTGATCCATCAAGGCTGTTCATATAAATGCATGCAGTAATCACTCATCTTATTGGGGGGGGGGTGTTCCAACGGTAACATGTATACCCAAAAATTGTGTGTGGTCAAACCCTTGGAGCTGCCCTGTGGCCAGCAGGTTGTGGGGAGAGAGAGCATCCTCAGCACTCTCAAGAGCCAGCATGCTGAGTTGGCCTTGCCCTGTAAGTAAGGTAGAGAGTTTTGCATGCTTGGTCCACTTGGGTTATCCAGTGGAAAGGGGGCTTTTAAACTCACCACCTGACTTGGGACAAGAGCGGGCAGAGGCCTGCTTGCTCGGATGCTTCTGTGAGATCTTGCAGAGACTTGAATTGTCCCACGAGATCTCACGAGGGCATTCCTTAGGCTTCCAGAGCTTCTGTGCCAAGTGAGCCTTTTTTGAGGTTCCCTTAATTAGGTTGGGCAGCTTTGAAAACACTGGGCCCCTCTTACATCACAGATATTATAACTAGTTATTGTTAGAATTCCTGCTCCATGATTGCAGTCATGGGATTGTTGTCTTAAACATGACGGTGTATGTTTTGACTCCACAGAGTGAGAAGTGACGGAGACAGGATGTTTTTGCTACTGTGTTCCGTAAAGTGGGACAATTGTTCTTTGTTCTTTTTCTCGTTGCTGTCTGATGCTAGAAAGAGAGGGAGCCATGTTGCAGTGCTCCGTGTGTGTTTATATGTAAATAAAGTAGATTAGCCAAAATGCTGAGTTGCTGAGCTCTGTTACGCAAACAGTCGGGCATGTGTCTCTGCCAGGGTCCTACTCGAGTGTAGGCTGAACTCCTGACAGTTATTGCTACAAATGCTTTGGGGGGGGGGCTAGTCATTTTGTGGCTGTATTTGCAATGATGTGTTATATATATAAATGAACTTGTCTGTAGCAGCGCAATTAAAAGAATGCAGCCTTTACCATCAGGATTTTCTCCCTTCTGTTGTTGATAAACAGCCCGGTTCCTACGATCACCTGGAGAAGAGCCGATGGAAAACAGATCCCCAAAAAAGCTCGGAGGCACAAATCAAGCAGCATCCTTGAAATCCCAAACTTTCAGCAGGAAGATGCTGGCCTGTATGAATGCGTGGCTGAAAATGTGAGAGGGAAGAACGTGGCCAGAGGCCAGCTGACGTTTTATGGTACCCTGATTATTTACTCACCTGTTTTTCATTATAGCTGAGGCCAAAATGTGGTAAATGCTTTGTTGCACTGTCAATGTTGATTTTTCTCTTCATATTTGTCTTGCAAATAGGACTGCTCAGCAAGTGTAATTTTATATAAAATAAAAACCTCTGAGACGGGCATATTGATTGAGGCTGGGAAGTGAGGGAGAAATGAAAACGTACGTTGTAAGAAGGAGATTGGTCTGGAAGATGTAAAATGCAGTTGTAAAGCAATTTATCTGTCTTTCTCCTGCTGCATCTGGAAGAAAAACCACATGCTCTTCTGAAAAACGATGGCTGTTTTGGCCTCAGATTTAGAGTTTTCATTTCTGGCTAGCTTTTAATCTCAATGGCCCTTCCCCCCCCCCTCTGTATCACACAGAATTTGGGACTCATTCTTGTGTAAAAGTAATTATGGGATTTTTCTGTATACGTCCCTGCAGATTATATGAACAAGACTGAAAAAGTTTGCATTGCTGCAGATCCTTTAAGGATTTGTTCTCTTCTTCCTCTCTTGAAAGGAGACTGAGGGTAATGTTGTGCATAGCAGTGCACCAGACGCTTTAGAGAAGGCCGTCAAGACTGAGTATGTGCAGCTTGGCCCTCCTCCTCTTGCCAAGAGAGAAGTAGGGTCATGCTCTCCCAATTGCAGAATGGATTGCCTCCTCTAAAGTGGCTGTTGCAACTACTTTAAAGGTTGCAATTCACAGCACAATCCCCTTCACCTCTCCTGACAAGAGAACAAGGAGAGAGATCATGATTTTTCAACAAAGGTAATTTTTTTCATTGGATTCACTCCCTTTTTTTCCTCTGAAAACTGTTCCTTTACATACCCCCCCCACACACAAAATGTCATATTTTGCTTCAACCCAGCCCCCTTCCCACCAAAAATCACTGAAACCCTACTGCAAATCTTTACTCTAGACCTCCTTCTCCCCACGTCCTGCCACCATAAAATGCCAATTAGCATGAGAGGGCCCAGAAGAAAGGCAAATACAGTGGTACCTTGGGTTACATATGCTTCAGGATACATACGATTCAGGTTACACACTCCGCTAACCCAGAAATAGTGCTTTCTGAACTTTGCTTCAGGATAAGAACAGAAATTGGGATCCCACGGCAGCAGGAGGCCCCATTAACTAAAGTGGTGCTTCAGGTTAAGAACAGTTTCAGGTTAAGAACGGACCTCCGGAACGAATTAAGTACTTAACCCGAGGTACCACTGTAACTATATTCTAGAGTTCTTTGGACCTAGCCAGTTCCAAGTTTCCTTAAAGTTGTTGGGATAGTGTGATGGCTTAGTATGCTCTTCGCAATAAGCACCTCTGCTCACTCAGAGATATATACAGTTCTTTATTTTACATATGAACACGAAGCGCATTACAATCATACATCTGAATCCTCCAGTTCAGATTCTGGGACTGGCCTCCGCTGGCTTCTCCTCCAACAGAAAAGGCGGGGAAGTTTCATGTGATGCCTCTCCCCCCTCCTCTTTAACTCTCTCCTCTCCTTGGCAGACAGAACAGGCATTGCCTCACTATCGGTGCCAGAACTTCCTGTGTGGTGCTGGGGCTCTGCTTCAGCCTCTGAGAGCCCTTCTACCTCCTGGCTCTCCCCTCTTTCCTCAATCGCCACTTCCTGCCCATCTCCCTCTTCCTGTTCCTGCTCCTCCCCAGCATTCTCTGGCAGTCCCATGACATCACACACACCCTTCTAAGACCCCCCCCCCATCTGTGTTGCTCTCACTTTCTTCTAAGGATTGAAACCTCAAAAAGCCTTCCTCTTCCTCATCAGTCTCCGCAAATATCTCCTTGAGTTCCAGTTGTGGAGTTTGGGTTTGTGGGGGTATCGCGCATGTAAGTCCGGTGCCTGGATATTCTCTGCCGGTTCCCAAGAGTTCTCAGCTGCAGGATCACCCTCCCAAGCCACTAGGTATTGCAGCCTGTTCCTTTGCCACCTGGAATCTCCTCTACCTCTCCACCCTGCTCTACCAGTGGAGGAGGTTCCCTGGCCTCCATTTGATACCTATGTGCTGGATTGTATGGTGACAGCAAGGACCTATGAAACACAGAGGTGCCGTAAAATCGGTTTGTCTTTGCAGGGCTTCTCTTGATTGCTATCAGCCATGCTGCTTGCTATTTTCATCTTTCTACTTTTAATCATTTCTGCAAATCCTAGCTTCGTACTGCTCCTTTGCGCTGTCTCCCTTGTTGTTTTGGCAGTGTCTGGTTTGTTTATTAGTAGCAGTTAATAAACCTGCTGTGATTTGTGACCTTTTCCTTTTTAATACTTTTTCTTTATTCACATTAACAGAAACTTCTATATCTTTCCCTTGATACCACTAATCCTGTTTCTTTCTCCACTCCTGGCAGATCAGTATCAATTTGGGGGGGGGGGAGCGTATTAAGTTGTGTTTTCCTCCAACTTGTGTGTTTTCCACTTTCGACAGTCCCATGAACCATCTTAGTTCTCCATTTAACTTGCATAGTACTGTTATTTATCACCTTGCTCGTTCCTGTTATCCTTTCTCTCACTTTCTGAATCATGGCTTACTTTTTTCCCCTATCCTCCTCTGTTCCACTGAGTGAACATTGTTTATTGAGAAGTTGTTCAGACCATGTTCAATGAGGGTTAACCTCCCTCCACCCAGATAAGTGGGCATGTAGGAATGCCACTTTTGGATTCATCAACAATATCTTCTCTTTTGATCTAAGGATCCCTCCAGACAATCTACTTGTTGAGCATTCATCAGATCTGCCTTTCCCAACCTTTCATTTTTGTTGTTGTTTAGTCGTTTAGTCGTGTCTGACTCTTCGTGACCCCATGGACCAGAGCACGCCAGGCACTCCTGTCTTCCACTGCCTCCCGCAGTTTGTTCAGACTCATGCTGGTAGCTTTGAAGACACTATCCAACCATCTCGTCCTCTGTCGTCCCCTTCTCCTTGTGCCCTCCATCTTTCCCAACATCAGGGTCTTTTCCAGGGAGTCTTCTCTTCTCATGAGGTGGCCAAAGTATTGGAGCCTCAGCTTCACGATCTGTCCTTCCAGTGAGCACTCAGGGCTGATTTCCTTAAGAATGGAGAGGTTTGATCTTCTTGCAGCCCATGGGACGCTCAAGAGTCTCCTCCAGCACCATAATTCAAAAGCATCAATTCTTCGGCGATCAGCCTTCTTTATGGTCCAGCTCTCACTTCCATACATCACTACTGGGAAAACCATGGCTTTAACTATACGGACCTTTGTTGGCAAGGTTCCCACCATCCTTTGCCATTGGCCATTCTGACTGGGGTGATGGGAGTTGTAGTTCATCAGCATCAGAAAACCTAAGGTTTGGATCTGTTTCTTAATCAACTTTGATTTCTTCTTACACTTATAAGTTGGTTCATGCTTGTACTTAAATGAAAAGGCAACTGATTAATTCTATAAAGGTAATAAAATAAAATAATGTAGGCCAGAACAGAATCATGTTTACATTTCACATTAGCACTGGCTACATTTTATTTTATTTATTTCATAAAATTTATATACAATTTAATTGTATATATTTCTTTAAAATCCTCAAAGTGGTTTACAAATGGGAAAATAGTCTCAGCTTAGACTATATCCCTGTATTTTACTTTTAAAAGTTAACCTTGTCTAGAGGTGATGCCCCCCTAGCCTGCTGTTAAAGGTGATCAGTGTATAACTTGGAGTATTCTGTTATAGGAATAACTTGACTTCAGCTGCCTTTTAAATTTGAAAATGCAAACCACGAAAATGTTCCCCAAGTTTCATCAAAATAGCCATTCCAGACCTGTCATTCTGAAAGCAGCTTGTCATAAGATCTCATATAATATCCTGCATTAGTGACAAAATCTTTCCTTTTTTAATGTAAGAAATATATATATATATATATATATATATGCTTTCGTAGATTTTCACGGGTACAGGAATGCAGGTTTTGGTGTCCTCGGGTGTCTTCCCGTGTAAAAGTTGGGGTGTCTAGGCGACGTTTCGACGAGGTCTCACTCGTCATCTTCAGGCTGGTGCTTTCGGCTTCTTGTTACTCCAGTAACAAGAAGCCGAAAGCACCAGCCTGAAGATGACGAGTGAGACCTCGTCGAAACGTCGCCTAGACACCCCAACTTTTACACGGGAAGACACCCGAGGACACCAAAACCTGCATATATATATATATATATATATATATATATATATATATATATAATGGGGAGGGGGAAAACTGCAATGCTGGCATTGTTTTTCCAAGTTGTTTCTACTGGGTCAAAAGTTCACATTCAAAGAAAGGAGCACTGGAACATATTTGATATGGAAAATCAAACTTGTCACTTACTTACAGCCTTTCTCTGTGAAATGTTCTATCATAATGCATCCCTGGAGATTAAAATCTGGCTCTAACAGTGTTACTCTTTTAAACTGAGTTATCTGCCTCTGTGAATAGCAAAGAAAGCAAAGGAAGATGAAATTCAAATTTGCCTGCTTGCCGCAGATAAACCAGACTATCTTTTTTTGTCACCAACCATATTATTCAGCACTCAGTAAAGTTGTTGAAAGAGGTTTGCTTGTTTGTTGCTGTTATGCTGACTCTAGTTTTCTTTTGCGCTATATATATATATTATCAGTGGCATCAACAGGCTTCATGTTCAGTATGGTTAAACAGGTTGACGCAGGGTGAACAATTCAGCCTCTTTTCCTCCACCTCAATTGTACAGTTTCACAGCTTAGCCTAGTAGCATGTGTGAAGGGAAAGCAAGTTAGGTTATAGAACATTGGTACACTTTAATCATCTTGGGATAGTGTGAGGAAGGAGGGCGCAGACTCTTTTAAGACTGGCCAGGTGCTTTTGTTTTTGTCTCTCTGCTTGGAAGATGGAAGAAAATTCCTGTTTGCTTCTGCTGCTTCAGAAGCCACAAGAGGGCCCAGACCTGACTGAAATGTAGCAACATGCTTTGTTTATCCCCTGTGATTGTCTTGCA